AGAGAAGAAAAAGATTCAGAAACTTCAGGAAATAGTAGTGATAGCATTGATGAGGAGGATGATAGTGATGATTGATTGAAATATTTGTTATCATATATTATTACTCATTAAATATATGTATTGAATTATATATATATATATTGTTTTATCAAGTTGTATATTTTTTATTTAAAATAGCATCATTGTATGAATGTTCTAAATTTATTATTCATTATTTGTGTACATGTATTAATAACTATTTTGCTATTCCTCTTTCAGGATGTCTGGAAATCCAGCAGGTTCAACTAGGAGGAGATCTTCTTCCTCAGGATCCCAGGGGCAACGTAATCGTGATCAGCCGCAGGTATTCTCTAGTAGTGGCATAACTCATGATATAGAGCAGACGAGATGTGATCCATTGATTGAGGATATGGATCATTTGACATCTGATCATGATACTGAGGGCCCTTCATCCTAGAAGGGGAAAAAAGGACGAGGTCGGAATTTGAAAGGTCTACGCCCTCCAGAGAATAGAGAGAGTAGGACCTGGGTTAAACTTACTGATGATAAGCTTCAGTTTGCTGATCCATCCATTCCTCGAGCTATCACTGCCTTATGGAAGTCACGTTTTGATGGCCCATATTTCACATTTGATCGTGTCCCCAACAACAAGATTAATGAAATTTATGCTTGTTTCAAAGTAAGATTTAATTTTAGCAAATTATATAAAATGAATGGATGTAGCAATTTTTAATAAAAATAAATAACTTAATTACTTAACTAGAATTTATTTTTTTTACACATTTAATATTGTTCATTTTTTATTTTGTAGACACTTTACCAGTGGGACCGTGCAGATAATCTCCATGTACGAAATGCATTCATAAATTGTATGAGGCATAGATGGAGTGATAATATGAGGGACGTGAGGTTGAAGTGGGTGAAGGACCCATCTTATATCCCATATTGGATGCCACCTCATTTATGGTCTCAGCTACTGCATTATTGGGATTCTGATGAATATAAGATGCTTCAAGAAAGGGGAGCAAAGAATAGGAATTCAGGGGAGAGAGTGACTCACACCACTAGGTCAATTAGCTTTGGCATCCATGAGATGCGGATGGTAATGAAGCATAATTAATAAAAAATTAAATTTAATAAATTTTATTTACTAATAAATTATGTCAATTTACACTAATCAATATATTGTATTATAAATATTTTGAAATACAGACTGAAGCTAGAGGTGGTGTGCAACCTCCACATCAAGAGAAGTTCAAGGAGACACATACCTTCAAAAAGAAGGTGGCAACGAATCAAGAGCCGATGTGGATAAATGAAAAGGCAAAGCACTGACATGTAAGTATATATAATATATCAATTATTATAAAATTTATAGTTATAAGTGTCAAATTAATTTATTTAATTAATCTAAATTATTTAGCAAAGTCTACTTATTTTATAGATTTTTTTCAAAC